TTTTTAAATGGAATACCCTGTATTTTATACCACCAATTAATTAACACCGGGTATTCCATTTAAAAAATTGAAAAATCGCATTTCTTCGTATTTCCGGTAATAAAACAGCTATCGATCAATTACGCACTGATATGTGTTATTGGCATGAGCGTCGTTTGGGGGGGGGGGGGGGGGGGGCAAGGGGGGGCAGTTCCCCCCTGGCTTTTACGACTATAAACAACGCGTAAGATATGCATTACGAACAAAAATCTCATAGAAAATTCAGGCCAATATAGTTGAAGAATATTATAGGTTGAATATATTTATTGCATATCTGAATTCCCTTATTACGTCGCTTACATCACGGTTTTCCTAAAACTTCTGTTAGTTTTTCCTTAAGCCTGTTACATCCCAAAAACATAAAAAATAATACTTTTTTCACTACCGTTTAGAAAATGAAAGTAGTGGAAACATTTAGAATCGACAATTTTGAAGCTGAATACCAAACTGGAGTACAAAAGAGCTTTCTGCACACAATGAGCTCTGAATTTATGATATAGCGTCCAAACATTGTGAATTTTATCCAGACATACAAAGTGCTTTAAAAATTATTTATGGCTCTTCCACCAACGTCAGAGTTAATTGAAAGAACGTTTAGCACGCTAAAGCATGTTAAAACATAGCTGCGGTCTATTTGATCAGTGCGAAGTCATGGTAGGGGAAGCAAAAGCGATACTAGCGCATGCTGCGAATAATTCGAATACTTTACAGGGCGATATTTTGTAATTTTGGCTCATCAAATACACGTATACATTTTACTTTTTACTAAAAAAATAGGTTAGAAACAATAAAATGAGCAACCGTAGTTGCTATGTTGCAAGTTATACTAGCAAAAAAACTAAATTATATAAATTTTCAGTAGCGAAATCGAAATTAAATCAAAGATATAAATGGACAGCTGTATAATAAAAAGAAAAAAACCTTTATTTTTGTAATAATACCAGTAATACTGAACATAATAGACATCAGAAAAGGTTTTAAATAAACATATTATTTTATGATATTCTTTAACATCCCTTAAATCTTAAATGTTTAGCAAATGATTAGATTTCTGCCTTTGATTATTGTATATGGCTGAAATGCAATCTTGTGATTTATTGATAGGAAACCAGTTTTAATCATTAATTTCTATGGGTTCTTTCGAACTAAAAATAAAGAAAATATAAATTACAATCGCAAATATACCAATTATTTTTGTTAATACGTTTTAATTCTACGTTATTATATAATGATAATGTTTTTATTTTGTCATTATTTAACCTATTCTTCAATGACAACTTATTATGCTTAGGCAAGATCTCATACATTTTCTCGTAAATACCTGCCTATGTTTTCTTATTGATTTTTATTGATTGTACTACTTTTTTTAGCTGAAGTAATAAAAATATATAATAATATTTTTTAATAATTTTTTCTTGTTTTACAAATCCATATACTTATATTAAAATTAACATATATATTTTTTAATTACGAACTCTATTACAAACTGTATTGACAATATACGCAAATATCATCCATTAGTTCATAAAATAGTTGGCGCTGCTGTCACGCATGGAGCGAATAATGAATGAAAATAGGCTGACTGAAAAATAAATTATGTTTTCTGTTATCGATGTTTTTAGTAGAGAAAAGAGAAATTTAAAATGTGCGTATTCCTAGTGTTTTTTTGTGTTCATCGTCGTGTTTGAGAGAGTTTTTTTATGTTTTTGTTTTTTTATAAATTTTTATTTTTTATATTATTATGTAGGGCTGTGTCTTCTTGTTCATATTTTTCTTTTATATCAAACCTTTCGTTTATTTTTTAGAAATGTCTTTTAAGTTTCTTGATTTTTAGTTTTTGTCTTTTTTGTTGGGTTATTTTATTTATTAGAGACTTGTTATGACAACTTAAGTATTAGTTCTATCAAATAGGTCAGTGACATGTTAGGGTTACTACTAAAGTTCCAGTCCTCCTTATCTTCGCTATTCAGTGAGATATCGGAATAATTTTGTTTTGTTTAAAAGACTGAAACAAATACTTTCTTATGATTGATTTAATTGTTCTGTGACGTCATGGCGTACTTCCGGTTTTTCCGGAAATAACAAAAAATCGATTTTTTTTATTTTTAAAAAGAAACCCTCTTTTTTATTGTAAATTTAAATTTCTGGGACATTTTTGTATAATAATTGCATATTGAAAATTTTCTGTCAGCTGTCAAAATGGCCGCCATATTGGATAATATTTTTTCTAAATATGTTTCAATTAATTCGTTTATGGAAAACATATAGGAATGTACGAACTTTATAAAATCTTTTTAGGCTTTAAAATTCCCATTGAGACCCATTTACCGTATACCAGTGGCGTATCTAAGCATTTTTAATATTAGCATACCGTTTAATAATTCCATCCTCTTTCATCTTTGTTGTTATTTGAGATATTGGAATTAAAACCTATTTGTTTAAAACTTGAATACCGGAACCAATTGGTGTGTGACTTCATGGCTTACTTCTGTTTTATCGGAAATAACAGAAAATCTCAATATTTTTAATTTTTAAATAGAAACCCCCGTTTTTATTGAAAATTTGAATTTCAGGGACATTTATGGATAAGAATCATGTGTTGAAAATTTTCTGTCAGCTGTCAGAATGATCATCATATTGGAAAATATTTTTTTAATATGTTATTGACAGAAAATTTTCAATACACCTTCTTATACAAAAACTTAAATTTTCAATAAGAAAAAAGGTTTTCATTTAAAAATAAAAAATAAATTGCGATATTCTGTTATTTCTGGAAAAACCGGAAGTAAGCCATGATGTCACAGAACAATTAAATCCATCATAAGAAAATTCTTTTATTTTCATTTTCTTTGTTTTCCAACAAATAAACATTCTAAATTTTTTCAAAATTTTGCCTCTCCCTATAGAATTGTGTAACGACGCCCATGGTTATTGGTTAACATGATGGTATCGTTGGATAGGCAGATTTATAAGGAATTTTATGCCTAAATAATATACAGGATATTACATTTAAAAAAATTGAGTAAATTTAACTTAAAATTAGCTATATTTAAGAAATGTTTCAAAACACTCTGTATAAAATAAACCAGTTCATCGCTATTCGTTAGCTTAGTATCTTATAAGTCTATACAGGGTGTCCCAAAATTAGACGGTCATATTTTAAAAGCGTAATCAACATCCTAAAATAGGAGTAAAAGTTCATGTAAGCATAGGTCCGAAAAAGTTTCATTTTTGAGATACAGGGTGTTACAAGTGAAGTCCTAATAGCATATTTTTGTAAATATTTTCTAAAATTTCTTAGTCACCGGTTTTTTAAAGTTAAAAAAATGTTAAATTTCTGATTCCCCAGGCCTACTAATTATTGTTTACACTTTCGAATAAGATAGCATCACTTATCATGAAATTTTTAAATGCTTTTCTATTGAAAATCTTACGTCCTAGCGAGATGCAACAAAAATTGCTTTATTATAAAGAAAACATTGGTTTTCCAAATTTTATAATCAAAAATGTTAAAAACTGTCAACAAAAAAACTTAGGGCAATTTTACCCTAAGCTCCCCCTAATTTACCCACCTATGAAGATGATCAAAAACTGAGGTTTAGTCAATGAAATAAAGCGTAAACAGGTAAGCATTTGTACCAAATTTCACTTAGTTATTTTTAAACGTTTAGAAAATATTTACAAAAGTGTGTCATAAGGACTTCGCTTTTAACACCCTGTATCTCAGAAAAGAAACGTTTTCGGACCTATGTTTATATGAACTTTTACTCCTATTTTAGGATGTAGATTACGCTGTTAAAATATGACCGTCTAATTTCGGGACGCCCTGTATATAAAATTGCTTGTCCTGACTGACCTATCAACGTACAGCCAAAACTACTGAGCCTAGAAAGCTGAAATTTGGAATATAGGTTTATTTTATAACGTAAGTAGCATCCGCTAAGAAAGGTAAGTATTATACATTTTTGAAATCAATTTAAATCTACCTAAATTATAATTTATTTTGCATCATTCTCTAATTTCATAAAGAAAATTAATTGCTTTGCTACCCTGTAATATTCTTTAAAAAAATAAATTAATTAAAATACAGGTTTTTTTATTTAAAAAAAGATACAATTTTATTTGTCAGGCAAAAATGCAACACCCTGCATATCCAAAAAATATTGTTCGAAATATGTATTTTTCAAATCAATTTAACTCTTATTGGAAACTTGTTTGTGTGTCTATAACACAAATTGAAATATTGGACAAATACGCACTAATGAGACACCCTGTATAACTTTACTATAAATAGGTATATAGAAATTACTTTAAAAATTTAAACTTTTTTAGAACGAACCATCGTACGCCCGAAAAGTTACAAGTCGCAAATTAAATAAAATTACATTAAAAACCCGCATACATAACCCTCTCCGCAAAGTAATGTGTTGACTTATCACAGTTAAGTACATTATAGGCATATTTTACAAAAAAAATCTTCCTAAACGTCTGGCATGAAATACAAATTAGTGAGTAAAAAAATATATAGAAAATTGACATGATTATAATAATTATATTACGTTATAACCTACTGTGGGTTATTTCGATTTAAATGATCATCAAAAGTATCTGACAAAAAATGTACGAGGCCATAACTATGTAAAGGTAAATACATCCTCATTAATTTTAAAATTTACTTGTTGCAAAATTTATTTTTGTACTATCTGTGTTAATGAGATATTAATTTTAGAAGACACATTATACATATTTTTGCAGAGACCCTTCTATTTATATAACTATTTTAATTCCTTTTATTTTGAGGAAGCAATTCTTGGCGCACATTCGGTCAATATTGCAAATAGAAACAATCAGTTGCATGAATTTCTAATTAATTTGAACCACTTTAATGTGACAGACTGTGTTGTGGTATTTAATTCTAAAAAACGTGTAATGTTTACCATTTTAATATCTATTTCATAATAATGAAAAAAAAATTGCAATTCAACAAGCAGTTTCAAAGATTGGATAAGTAAGTAGATTCAGCAAATTGTGATTATGCAGTTTTGGTTTTTTAAAAGTTGCAGCTATCCTACTAGTAGGTAGTATTTTTGTATAAATGTTTGTAATGCAGCTAACGAACTATTTTCGTGAGCGAATTCTGCATATAATGGCTAGTATTGTAGGTACTTGAATCTAGGGTGTACAGAATCTTGTGACGATATTAGAGTAGATTTGCTTAGGATTTTATAGGCCATGTATCCTCCTCAACCTTTTCAGATCTATTACGAGTATCCCTTAATTATTGGTTGGAGTACTTTGTCTAGTCAATATACTTTCCTATTTTGGTCTATTATAATATAATCATAGACTATTAAGTAACTCTCCGGTATAGCTAGCTAATTGCCCTTTTATTCAAGTGTAAAGAAGTTTAGTTTTAAAAGACCTTCGCAATAATGCAGTTGCCTTCTCCTTCTAACAGAATCGACATAAGGTATCTTCTAAGGGGACTATGTTATGCATATCTCTGTTAAGCATACAATGTTCTGTTAATAGGCCTACAGTACTCTAGTATTTATTAAATTCTGGTTTAGTAGATGCTCTGTGAGTTTGACGGTTATTATGGAGTGTAGAGGTAAGGATAACTACCTCAGTTTACAAAAAGTGTCCCTCAAATTGTATAAAATTAAGATGGCGTTACCGTGTTACCGGAGGCCCTCCAAGTACTGGCCGGGGGCCACTCATAGACCTTCTTGTTGAGGAACGACAAATTTTGTTTCCAGATTTAGCGGATAAAAATAGGAGAATTGACATCAGAAAGGAAACATTGGAAAAATGACAGGATCGATGGGAAAACATACGGGAAGTGGCAGCGAGGACTAAGAAGCTGATATCAAGGAACGAGCCGTGTGGTTGAAGTTCAAGCACAAAAAGGTCGACTACTTTTCTAACTCAAGCCATGACAAGACATATCATAAGTTAGTGACCAGAGCCGTACTGAGAAATAATACGATTATCTAAATATTATTATTTACAAATTTCCACTGAATTCGGAAAATTACCGACTAAATGGATACCGTTTTTACATAAATATTATTGATAACCGTCCCTGTGTTCAAGACATTTTGATCGATCTTCATTGTGAAGAGTCTATTTGAAAAATGATATTATCACAATTTAGGTACGTGTGTATAAAGTTAAAACCTCTCTTAAGCTAGCAGAATCAACTGGGCAGAATCGATTAAGATCTATTACATTATTTAGTACCTATTTTGTACTAATTTGTACCACCAATAAAAAAATTGTACAATGTGCCGGTTTAAAAAAAAAACGTGGCGCTGCTAGGTTAATATTAAGCTAGCAGGACCACATTAAAATAATAAAATAAAAAAATAAAACAAAGGTAGAGTTAAAAAGAACTGAATTTGTACCAATTTGTACCACCAATCAATTTTTTGTACTAGGTACCGTTTATAAAAAATTTGTACCTTGTGCTGGTTTCAAAAAAACGTGGCGCTTCTAGTTTAATATTAAGCTAGCAGGACCACATTAAAAAAATAAAAAAAAAATAAAACAAAGGAAGAATTAAAAGGAACTAAATTTGTACCAATTTGTACCACCAATAAATTTTTCGTACTATGTACCGTTTACAAAAAAAACACATGGTGCTTCCAGTTTAATATTAGGCTAGCAGGACCACATTGAAAAATACAAAGGTAGAATTGAAAAGGACTGATTTTGTACCAAATTGTACCATTAAAAAAACTTAATTTATTTAATCAAACTGCCTGAAACAACTTTCAAATTAATCCAAATCTGTTATAATTAAAAAACGTGACTTTTTGCAGAAAAAGAGTTTACTGCTATTTTTGCATAAAACACAATATAATTTGTACCGTTAAAATATAAATTTTCAGAATATGCACCCCTGCCGCTCCTATAGAAACTATCCTAAATTCATATTCCTTTTAAACGAGCAAAATCAGTCGTTATTTCTGCAATAAAAGTAGCATAATTTGTACCGTTAAAATGTAAATTTTTAGATTTTGTACACCTGCCGTTCCTATAGAAACTATACTAAACTCATATTGGGCTCAAGAGTAAAGTACCCTTTTGTACGAGCAGAATCAATAGTTACTCCTGCAATGAAAGTAACATAATTTGTACCGCTGAAATATAAGTTTTCAGATTTTGTACCCCTGCCGTTCCTATAGAAACTAACCTAAACACATATTAGGCTTAAGAGTAAAGTACCCTTTTCCACAAGCAGAATCAATAGTTACTCCTGCAATTAAAGTAACATAATTTGTACCGCTAAAATATACATTTTCAGAAATAAAAGGAACATAATTTGTACTTTAATTGCAGGAGTAACTATTGATTCTGCTCGTTCAAAAGGGTACTTTACCCTTGAGCCAAATAAATATGAGTTTAGGTTAGTTTCTATAGGAACGGCAGGGGTACAAAATCTAAAAATTTATATTTTAGCGGTACAAATTATGTTACTTTCATTGCAGGGGTAACTATTGATTCCATTCGTGCAAAAGGGTACTTCACTCTTGAGCCTAATATGAGTTTAGGTTAGTTTCTATAGGAACAGCAGGGGTACAAAATCTGAAAATGTATATTTTAGCGGTACAAATTATGTTACTTTCATTGCAGGAGTAACTATTGATTCTGCTCGTGCAAAAGGGTACTTTACTCTTGAGCCTAATATGAGTTTAGGATAGTTTCTATAGGAACGGCAGGGGTACAAAATCTAAAAATTTACATTTTAACGGTACAAATTATTTTACTTTTATTGCAGAAATAACGATTGATTTTGCTCGTTTAAAAAAGTCACTTTTTTTAATTATAACCGATTTGGAAAAATTTGAAAGTCGTTTCAGGCAGTTTGATTAAATAAATTAGCTTTTTTTAATGGTACAATTTGGTACAAAATCAGTCCTTTTTAATTCTATTTTTGTATTTTTCAATGTGGTCCTGCTAGTCTAATATTAAACTGGAAGCACCCTGTGTTTTTTTGTAAACGGTACATAGTACGAAAAATTTATTAGTGGTACAAATTGGTACAAATTTAGTTCCTTTTAATTCTACCTTTGTTTTATTTTTTATTTTATTTTTTTAATGTGGTCCTGCTAGCTTAATATTAAACTAGAAGCACCATGTGTTTTTTTATAAACGGTACATAGTACAAAAAATTGATTGGTGGTACAAATTGGTACAAATTCAGTTCTTTTTAACTCTACCTTTGTTTTATTTCTTATTTTATTTTTTTAATGTGGTCCTGCTACCTTAATATTAAACTAGAAACACCATGTGTTTTTTATAAACGGTACATAGTACAAAAAATTGATCGGTGGTACAAAATGGTACAAATTCAGTTCTTTTTAACTCTATCTTTGTTTTATTTTTTATTTCATTTTTTTAATGTGGTCCTGCTAGCTTAATATTAACCTAGCAGCACCACGTTTCTTTTGAAATCGGCACATGGTACACATTTTTTTTTGGTGGTACAAATTAGTACAAAATAGGTACTAAATAATGTAATAGAAAAAGTTTTTTAATGCCAATATTTTAAGTGCTTTTCCCTTATAAATAAATTGTAATAACTTAAGCCTGCATTTTAAAACATTTACTTTGTTGCAATATGAATCTATTTGGATGTTATCCACCTATCATTTTATTGTTAATATGTGTTTGTTTTATTTAACTACACAGGATATTCCAAAAAGCATGGGCCAACACTCTTGATGTGATTCCTGACACGAAAATAAGACAAATGGTTCCTATCAATTTTGAAAACTAACAGGTGTTACATTTTTTTTAATAAATTTCCGCTACGGCTTTAACGATTTGAATGAAATTTTAGTTGTACAATGTAACCAAACAAGTAAATATTTTAGCAATAAAAAGGTTTAACATAGGCACGGGTGCCAACGAGAGCTTTAAAATTGTTTAACAAAAAATATGTATGTTACTGACTTTTCACTTTTTGATAGCACAATTAGTTAGACATTTAAATTACTATAATAAAAAGCACCGTTTAATTTTTGCTTCGTTTAGGAGCTACAATTTTATCATACTCTTGTAACAGACTTCTGACTTCACCTGCTGTGAAGTAGGAAGTCGTGTTTGGCGCTGAGGTGGTGAAATCAGATCAATGGTTGCTCAGGCGCCAGTGTTGCTAATGCAGTTTGTTCTGTGACCTTGTAGTACACCAGTACTAAGTGAAGTTAAAAATACCTCCAGGTGGTCACCGCTAATGGGGTAGCCACAAAATGTAATAAATTATACTATACTACCTCACACCTTGTACCCTGAAATAAAACGATTGAGAGCCGGAAACAAGAGAAATTATTTACAAAATATATTTAAAAATAAACTAAAAAAACTCGAGATATTATAATCGGTACCACCGGCACTCCTGGTATAACGGAAAATAAATTTACAATTGAGAATTTTTTATTAAATCAAATAAATAATTGAAATACTAAAGTAACAATCAAAAGAAAATAAAAAATAACTAAAACGGCAATAACAGCGCTCCCTGTATATTAGAGAATAACTTTCCTATCAAATAAATGGTTTAAATATGATAGCTAAACAATAAAATCAAATAATGTTTACGAAATAATTGAAACGGCATTAACGGCACTCCCAGTATAATAAAAAATAACTTTTCTCTTAAATAAAGTATTTAAATACAATAGTTAAACAATAAAAAGTTAATAATGTAAAAGAAATAGTTAGAACGGTAATACAGTACCTACTCCTTGTATAATAGAAAATGAATATTTAATTAAATGATTTTTTTAAGCACAAAAGTTAAATAATAATTATTAAACCAAAAGAAAAAAAGACGGTGGTTACAATACTCCTTGTATGATAGAAAATTAATTTACAATTAACTAATGGTTTTAAACACAACGGTAGGCCAATAATAATTGTAAAATCGAAAGTAACAAATCAAACAATATTACGGTACTTCCTGTATAATAGAAAATAAACTTTTCCTTAAGAATTATTTTA